CCTTGAAATCTGGGTTAGAAAGAAAGAGATGGCATCCAAACATGTTAAAATGGCCGAGAAAGCTACAAGGGGGACAAGTGTATATAAGGGAGTGTTTCCAAAAATGGAAAGAGATGGGTGTGGTGCCACTGTGTTTGATTTATTACATGAGTGATATCTTAGCAAATTGAAAGATAAGAGGTTCTTATTTTATACTCTAGCTTGTCAATATCTGTAATTTCAGTTCCTAATTTGTACGAAACTATAGACTTAGTATTTTAACATCACAAACATCTAATTTGAACCAGTGCTGCATTCAACATACCATGTGACACACAAAAATCAGTGTTTAACTGTGGTTTAGTATTTAATCTACAGTTTGATACTAAACTTATTAACATAAATTCATGAATAGTAGTTCAATAAAATTTTGAATGCAAGTCAACAAACTCAATGACATGGTATTTGACTCGTGACCTGTTTAAAAAGGGTTAATAAACTAAAAAAAGGATTTATCTGTGAATTTATCAAGTATTTATTTTGAATAATCCGTGTGCAACATGATTTTCATGTTAAGATTAAAAAATATTTTTCTTCATATTAAAAATCCCAAATTTCATCTGTGTAATCTCAAAAACCTTGTAAATATATTTCAAAAGTTTGTTTTCAGTAAAACTTTATATTTTATCTGTGATTTTCTCTACCATAACTCTACAAGGTTGGTCAATTTGACTGACCTCATAATCTCTCCCCCCCAAATCAAAATAAATCTAAATTAGCCTCCTTTCGTTTCCAAAACGACTTCAAATGTAAAATGAAACTACATTCATTTATCCTAAGTAGCTTTAAATTTGTAACAGTGTACATCTATTTATACTTAAAGTTTATTGTTTTATTGTCTTTTGAACTGTGTCTAACTACTATTCACATCATTATAAGTTTTAAATCACTCGGGGAATGTGCAGATCACATATGATATCGAATTACATTAACCACGAGTTGCTCACATGCGTGCCTCATGAAATATTTTATTATATCACTATTATTGTTTATTTTACCTTCACTAACCTAAAGAGATATCCATTTTTACATTTTAGTTACTTATATAATAATAAATAAGGAATAAATATGAAAAATAAGAATCTTCTTTCTTGCTGTCGATAAGACTTAATCCTACTTTTTTTTTTTAATATACTAATGGTAGCAGTGCATTAAATAATTATTATTTAATTAAATAATGCTCCAAAGAATATAGACTAATAACATGCAAAAATCAGCCAATTTCCTTTAACAATCACAATTTTTCTGGCTTTCTAACTATGAGACAAGAGCCATTACAAATTCATCCAAGCTAGCCATTGTGATTTCTGTAAGAACCAAAGTTGTATTACAAGTGAAAGTGACTATCTACTCAGAACACAATGTAATAGAATATGTCATTTGATAGATGAAAACCTTGACTTTCTCTTGGTTATAGGTAATATATAATTAAATGTAAGAGAGAACTATTAACAAATCCTGAAAGAGAGAATGTTACAGGTGGGTGTGGCAGGAGGAGTCTGATTTTCTATTTGATACCTCTGTAACCAAACAAAATTGAAGGATATAAAAATTATTGTTTGTCTGAACAATGACAATTTTATAGTAACTTATGTTTAATTTTGTAGTAACTGGAGAGGTGGTGGATAAAGTAGAGAAGATACACAGAGAAAATGTGTAATGTGAGTCACACTAGGGGAAATTCAGGATTTTTTAAAATATTGCCTTATAAAATTAAGAATTTAAAATTATATACTATTAAAACATAGGTTATTAGCTAAGATTTTATGCTATTCTAATTGGTATAACATAAACAAAATGTTGAATGTAAGACACTAACACCTCGTATCATGTGCAGAAAAGAATTTCCAGGGTTGGAGGGTTAAATCTCATTATTTTTAAGTACTTGAATGGGTAATGAAGAAAACTTTATCATAAGTTTAAGGTAGTAACAAATGTACAGTGTTATGACATCAAACTTATAGTAGTTTTCTTCATTACCCATTCATGCTGTCTTCATACTTTATAGTGCTTGATTAGAAACAATAAAATACTGACATACCATCATCAGACTTTCTCTTTCTAGACTCATGCTGAAGAGATGATTTTGTCTTATACTTCTTTGTTTGCTGTGATGTAGGTGGATATTGTAGACTGCGACGTTCTAAAATAATAGTTTTGAAAATAACATGGATAACAAAAAATAAACATCAAAAACAAACTGATCTGTAATAATACTGTCTTAAAATAAAAACAAAACACAAGTTAATATGTAATAATACTGTCTTAAAATAAAAACAAAACACAAACTAATCTGTAATAATAATACTGTCTTAAACATCAAAAACAAACTAATCTGTAATAATAATACTGTCTTAAACATTAAAAACAAACTAATCTGTAATAATAATACTGTCTTAAACATTAAAACAAACTAATCTGTAATAATAATAATACTGTCTTAAACATTAAAACAAAACACAAGCTAATCTGTAATAATAATACTGTCTTAAACATCAAAACATAACAAATATCATACATATCATTACCTGGACATACAACACAAATTACTAATATATTTATATAGATACACACACATATCAAAAAAGAAAGATTAATAATATACAATCAATTTACAAACTGACGAACAGTATTTCTTTAATTCAAAATTCTTGTTAAATTTTGGACTTATCAAGATTTATGGCAACTGACTGTTTCCCTTACTGTCATTTTTCCCATATGTTTCTGTGCTACCTCTCTTCTTTGATATTTCCAAACTTTTTGCTCTGCTGGGCCTACCCACTTGAGTCTTCTTTCCAGTTTTAGTATCCTGGTCATTGTGGAGATAGAAGCGTGTTTGGTAGAATCCAGTGGAAGCTCCTATGTGCATACGGGAAGAATATATAATACATGTTCTAAACATATGAAGTCTCTTAAGCTCACCAATCCAATATGTTCAAACAAGTGTCTTAAACTATACCAGTTGTCCTTTATATTATTCAATAATAGAATCCAGTGGAAGCTCCTATGTGCATACGGGAAGAATATATAATACATGTTCTAAACATTTCAAGTCTCTTTAGCTCACCAATCCAATATGTTCAAACAAATAATAAACTAACATGTTCAAACAAGTGTCTTAAACTATATGTTGGGAAAATCAAATTAAGAATAACTAAAAATTTCTAAAAAAATAAAGTATTCTTTCAATGTTGGAAAGGGACAAGAATGGATAAGGTACAAAAATGTTAAAACGCTTGGGCTCTTGGGGTGTCAAACTCATAGTCAGGGTTCAGGGCAAAGCCCATTGGGTGAGATGGAGAAAAATATTTTACACTTGTCAATTTCTTTGATTTTAGTCTTTTCACTTTGATAATTTTCTCAATTTGAATACATGCTTTCCAGCCACCATTGCAACTATGTAGGCATCTACTATATTTGTAATAATGTCAGCAGATAGATATCACATAGAACAGTCAATCATGGTACATTTTACTAACACTTGGCCAATCTAAAACATCCCAATCCAAGTCTACATTCTACCTGTCAAGTCTACAAGCTACATCATTACAACAATCGTCCCCAGTTATACAGAAATCATGAGACCTACCCTTTAGAGATGGTAAAGAAAGCAGAATTCTGCCAGCTGGTGGCAAATTTACATGCCTTGTAGGATTATTATTATTATACGTTCATATTCATTGAAAAATACCTTTCATTTTAATCTTGTTCTGAGGTCCAGTGGTAACACATTTAATACAACTCCATGCTCCACGAGGAACTCTCTTCAGTGGAGGATCCACACAATCTAAGTGATAGGCTAAAGGGCAGTTGTCACAGCAAATGAGAGTTCCACCCTTGTGACACACACCACAGACATCTTCATTGTTGTCATCACTAGACTCTTCACTACAAAATTAAATCCAGTCTTTAGTTATCACAAACAGTTAAAAGTAACAAAATGATTTCTGTATGATTGTACGTCTTCTGAACATTGCACAGCAACCTTATGATCAAAACTTTTTTTTCAACCAGATGCTGAATTTTTAGCAATGAATGAGAGATCAAACATTCACAGTTTTATCATTCAAAGCTCAATTATGAAGACAATTAGCATATGGTTTGAGAGCTGCAACACAAACAGAAATGCTGTAGTTATATCTCAATGATTTCTTGAGGACAATACGTAATACAAAACATTTACAATACACGCTAAAAAGATTTTTACTTCTGAGTAACATCACAATTTCTGCAATCAAGTTAAAAAAGAAAAAGATAAAATTAAAACAGTCAAAATGAGAAAAAGAATGTTTCTCAGCATAACAAAATGGGTATTAACTCTCTAAATACGGGCTCAATCAAACTGACAGATAACCTGACCTCTTTGTACTCATTTATAGTCTATATATTTGATACTGCTAATTTTTAATATAGTAAGTATATATTCACAAAATTTGGCAATCTTTCAGCAAACACTATAAGTCTTTCATATACAAAAAAAATCATATTTTTAGTCAAGTATTTTAAATAATCTATAAAAAGATTTTCCACGAATATTTGTTTTGAATAGTCCATGTGCAAAGTGATTATCATGTTAAGATTAAAAATATGGATTATTAGCTAAGATTTTATGCTATACTAATTGGTATAACAAACAAAAAGTAGTTT